GGATTCATAACAGACAAATGCAGAAGGGATACCTTTCTTTTCGAGCCAGGTTTTGAACTTAATGCAGTCCTTCTTTATGTGTCCTTTCTTTTTACAGAAAAAACACGTAGACTCCTTCTTTATAACCCGCTCAGCTGGCACAGGTCCCTTCCCCTTTGTATCAGGCTTTCTCTTCTTGCCATGGACCGTTAGGTTCACTTTCTCACATTCCTCCATCAGTAGTCTCTTCTTTTCTTGAACACACATGGTCATCAATTCATTAATGGATCATTTATCTTTATGTGTGTTATAGGATATCTTAAATGGATCGTACTGATGAGGTAAAGTGCACAAAATGTAATGGAAAAAAAAGGTCTCAGACATGGTCACCTCTAAGTTTTTCAGCTGCGCCGCAATGTCCCATATGCGCATTATGTGCTCGCGCACACCCCTCACACCCGTGAACCTCATGGTGGAGAACTGAATGATCAATGTGCTGGCAAGAGTCTTATCAGACTTGACGAATTGTTCATCAATAGCCTTCAAAAGCTCTCTAACATTATCATGCTGATCGACAGACGCACGGATACCAGCAGAGATCTTAGTCTTTATGAGCATCATGGAAAGACGGTTAGATCTCTCCAATCGCTCATAAAGATCCACATCATCTGGCTCGCTGGTTTCAGTAATAACCGGCGGCTCGTCTTTTCGTATAGCATAATCAATGTCCATCCAGCCTAAATGAAGGAGAATCCTCTCCTTCCAGATCTTATAATTATCATCAGTCAATTCGGGAATATCACATTTAATGTTAGAGAAATTCATAGGATTAAATGCTGCAAAATTAAACATACATGCTCATCAATAAACGAGATAAATAAATTACATGTTCTACCAATGTAAACACGTCATGACATGAATCTAAAGACATAAGACTTGCCTGTGGGCTAAAGTTTTACTCAATTAGATTTCATCAAAAACTTTACATTAAAACTATCAAATTGCGTTCCCTTTTTCAATTCCTGTGGGTAGATTAAGAAATACAACTCAATATTTTATCCTAATTATTCATATAAATATAACAAGACTCCTGTGGGTAGATCTCATCATATCGTACATGATAATTACAATCGATGTCTATTAATGTGATTTCAAATAAATCATGAATAAAATTTTAATTAATCGAAGATGCTGTGACTATTTCGCAATTAAATAAAACTTAAAATAAATCACAAATATCATGAATATATAAACTAAAGTTGACATAAATAAATCAGATTTATACCATATATGCAAAATAATAATAATAATAATAATAATTATGCATGCCTCATCGTCACAATAATATTAAATATAATAATAATAATTGCAACAAAGTACTGCACTGCACTTTCCATTATTAAAATATTCTAAACAAACCATCAATGAGTTAGGATAGGACTCATAGTACTATAGTCTGGCGCTTAATTAAAAAAACACGCATACATGCCATATACATATAAATATGCTCAATTAAAGGACGCGATTTCTTATATGATCGATTGCCTCCATAATTCAACATGAAATTTCACATATTGCGTAAATAAATAAATAAATAAATAATCCAGATTAAAAAACTGCATCCGAATACTTCATCAGCCCCAAATAATATCTTTCAGACATTCAAATATTTTGCAGAGATTAATTTCACTAAAGAATTTTAAAAATAAAATTCAAAATTTTTTTCAAAAATAGAATGAAATTTTCTCAAATCACAGGATCGGATCTTGATAAAAAATATCGCAAAGCAATTGTTGTAAAACCAAAATATTTCCAAATAAGAAATTAAAGTGAATTTTGATCAATAATTTGACGAGAAGAAAATTCAAAACAAGACAGAGGCAAAGAGAAAGCTCAGATACCAAATGTTAGAAAATAAACATATAATCAAATATGTTAGCGGAAGCGAAATTTAAACAAACCTCAAGCCATTGCTAAAAATAGATTTGTTCTTGAGATATTCTTCTTAAAAAACAGTAGATTGGAACCGTGAGAAAATGGTGTTGTCAGACTTTGGAACCCTTGTGGGGATGTTGCCAAACTTTGGAAACCTCCGAAGATAGCGGCAGATCGTGGAACCCTAGGACGATGTTGCCAAACTTTGGCTCTCAAATAGCGATGGTATATTCTAATTTTCTGAGAGTACGTTTAGTAACCCGTATGTGAGAGTATTTATAATAAAAAAGAGAAACCGTCCATCACGATTTTTCTTCTGCTACTTCTCACGTATATTTTGAATGCGATAGACTTAACGGGAGAAAAGTGAGCCACAATTTTAGATTAATTTAATTATATAAGATAATTAAAAAATAATCAAAATTCAAATATGATTAATTAATTAATTAACTAACAATTTTAATAAGTTTTCAAAAACCGGTTATAAGAAAATATACCCTTAGTTTTTTTTTTTTTTTTTTTTTTTTCATAGGGTACACTTGAGACAAAGTGCGTGCCTTGTTCAGGTTACAACTCTTTGTCCTCGAACTCAAAAGCATTGTAACGTACTGAAGAATGATGACTACATTTATTTAATAAATTAATAGTTGACTTTTGTAACTTAATAAAAGCAAAATAGCGTTCTCCATGCCTAACAAATACATGTTTTTGCTGGCAATTAAATATTTCACCTATTTCGTAATTATAATTTAATATAATATAAGGAAAGAAATCGTCTCCATAGAGATTGTGTTATTTATTCTTTCGTGTTCTAATGCAGTAAATAAAGGGGAGAATTTTCTTTTATTATCTAATGAAAATAAAACAAGAAAGCAATTAAATTAAAGGAGAATTGGCTATCAAAGGTATACCTGAATTAATTTATAATTAATTCAGTATCAATAAATTGATTATAGTTATCAAAAAGCTCTGACAACCAATTTTTTCTTACAGTATAGCTAATTAAGGCACGACCTTTAACTACCCTTAATTAAGCAAATAAACCTAGGTACGCCCATAAAAATATTGCCTAACCGCATTCTAATATAAAAAAACCCAATTCAAAACAATTACTACCTAAGAGGAGCAGTTAGATTTGATTGTCTAACTCTCGGGAAGGAACTATTCAACTCGGTTGTCACCTATTCAAGTGCGAATACAATTACGGATATCCTATCTGAATTGACTTTAGATTATCAGACTAATTCAAATATCGGTACCAAAATATTCAATCAATCTAACAATCACAAACGTTATTATCAGAATTAGACAAATATTGATAATAAAAAAGAACTTTTATAAAGAAAATTAAGAATTTCCAAAACAAAATAACCAAATATTATCATCCCTCAAACCAGAAAAGTATCTAATCCGTAATCAAATAATAAAGAACAAAAGAAAAGGATAAAGTCATAGTAGGAGGGGGAAATCTTCTCCGTCGATTTGCTCCTGCCCGATCTATGAGTCTGTCAGTCTTCTGCTCTTGTGCGTATCTGCTCTGGCCGTGATTTCTCCCTTTTATTTAATTTTTGCCCTAATTATTTTGTAGCTGGGTTTTTGAGCATTTAATTAAATTCTCATGTCAAGAGGGTATAGTTAGTCATGGTCATGACTAATTAGGCGGTGCATATCTGAATTTTTCTTTTATTTTTCTGCCAATCATGCCAAATTTGATATTTGTCCTCTGCACACAGCAGATAAACAATTCGCATATAAATTATGTAGAATTAAATCAAATTCACTCAAATATCGCATATGATATGAACATAAAATACATGCGATTTCTAATTATGATTGTGACTAGATAGATGGAATCGCCATAAAAAATTACTTTAAAAGTGCTCAAGCATATTATGAGATATATTGTTTAATCAGATTCTTAGATATATTGTATTAACAATCAATTAAGGACTTGTTTATCATTTTGGAGATGAAGGAAAATTGCTTAGGTATAGTGCCAGTAGTCCTATCATGGATCTTATTATTGTAAAAGTACAATAGGTATGATATTTTATTTCTCTTAGAATATGTTCACTTGGTATTTATAGAACAATGCATTGTAGCATTCTCTTATTGTGAAGTTGAATTTATAGTTGCATCAGCAGGATGTCAAACACTATGGTTTAATTTGTAACTTATTGATCAGAGTTGATTGGTTGAAAAATTCAAAAATTGTACGAAAATAATTAGTCCGTTTTAATATTATCGACATGATTTCATATACTTCACATAAAAAAAAAATTTAAATTAAAATACTAAATAAACAAATATATTATTTAAATTGTAATAGAATAGGCATTGCACCTCTCATTCTATATTTCATTTATTGGATAAAATTACTTCTTGTTATTTAGTATGCAACTTATCATTTTAATTTTGTTAGAAGTATAGAACAATAATTATAACATTTTTTTTTTTTTGTTTTTTGTCAAAAAAGTCAATTAAAGAGAGCTAAGAAGAATGAACAAGTAGAGACAATTACGGGAAAACAACATGTATATCTATACAATATAGATGCATATAAGATATTAAATTCAATCGAAAACAACAGAATAACTGTTCAAAATTTTTATGTTATCAGAAAAATAAAAAATGAAAAATATACACATCCCTTAAGAATAATCTAATGGAGTAGAGTGAATTCGTGACGGTGAAATAATGGGTTCAAACCCCGATTCAATACACACGAAAGCTAATGGCTTCGGGTTCTCACAATCAGAAAAAATAAATTAAAAAACACAACTTTTATATATAAATGTATAATGATATAGATAAAAAAGACAAGCAAGCAATTCAGAGCTTCCAATAACGTACGGAACATTCTCCAATCAGTGCAAGCATAAATTGTATCATGTGCTTATTCAGTTCATTCAGTTTATTATTGTTAGGGACAGGGAGTATGTAATGCAATGCAAGTTCGTGTTCTCTCTATTTAATTTAATTAATTAACTTATGCTGCAGAAGCAGCAGCTTATTTAATTTATTAATATGTTAAAAGCGTGAATCGGATAAAGCGAATTGATGGATGGCTCGATCTCTCGATCGATCTAAGCAGTGTGGGCGGGGGCAGGGGTCGGGGTGGCCGCCGTTGGGCTTGGGTTTGAGTTTGGTTCGTCGGGGAGCTGGAATGCCGAGACAGGATGCGCGCGGGACAATCCAACTGGGGTGGTGAACTTGATCATGTCCGGGGAGGGGAAGCCGACGAGGACGTCGCTGATGACTACTGCAATCATCATCTCCTTGCCCTTGACTCCGGTGAGCTTGGAGAGGTGCCCTGGCTCCACGAACCCGGTCATCTCCACGCTGTACAACACCGTCTGTCCAATCTGCCGGAACTTGATCTCCGACTTCTTCTTCAGCTTCAGCCACAGAAACCCGGTCGACCGGTTCAGCCCGATCTCCACGATTTCGTCCCTCGGCAACAGTCCGTTGGGGAGCTTGAATTCCTCCAGCAGCTTCAGGATTATGTCCTTGCACTCCTCCCCCTGGTATATTTCCGCTCCTTTCCTGTGCGTTTCGATTAGTTTCGCTGTTGCCGCTGCTGATGCTGCCATTTTCAATTCTCTCCCTCTCTGTATATTATGTGCTTGCTTAGTTAATAAAACGTATATTCAATTGTAATGGGAAATTTATATTATATATCAACGAGACAACCTGCAATCTGCAAGCTGCTGGCTGGTTTATATAGAAGAAAGGAGATATATATATTAATTAATACAGACGGCTCAGATCATATCAGATCAGACAACTCGAGATCTTCCGTGCCTGAATCGATCCCCACCCGCCCACAAATAATAATTTAGGATGCCCCTGCGCCACCAATATTAATTAAATGTTTAATTTCTCTATGTATGTTAAGTAGGGAGTAACTCGAGATGCATGCATGGGGATGGCCCTATTCTCACCGTCTATATATAGGTAGCAGGAAGGCACAGTGGTAGTTCGGTGCGGCTATACCTTATCAAAAAGAATTTACTCCATATGCTAAATTCGATATTTATATGATAGGATATAGCGTGCTAATTTGATGGATCAACACAATAGAAAAAAGCAAAAAAGTGTATGTATGTACATAAAATAATATAATGATGTAAAACGTATATATTTATTTTTATACAAAGTTTAAGAAATAATATTATTTTAATTATAGTGGGTAAGTAAAAATAGTGTAATGATAAAGAAATAATAATATTTTTGCTTTTACTTTTTGGTATAATAATAAATATGTGATGTAAAGTAAATGTATTTGTGAAAAAAATTGAATATTTAATGAAATAATTACTTTGTAATTAGACGTCCCAAAATAGAAATACGTATACTTTCTAATTGGAGGGATGAAGTATTATATATAAATATCTATTATAGAATTTATATATTGTCATGTTCTATGCATATTGTGTTTAATTCAATAATATATTATACTATATAAGATTATATCATATATTGTCAGAATATATATGGTATATTATACTTTCTCCGTCCATCTTAAAGGTTAACATTTATTTTTTACGCTCTGTTTAAAACATATTGTATTTTAATGATAGTTGAGATAATTTTGATGTAAAAAGACCATTACACCCTTATAGTATTTTTTTCTTTGTTTTTTGTAATAGAGTCGTGATTTAGAATAATGTCATTAATGTACTTTGTAAGGAAAATAATTAAAATTAAAGTGTACAAAAAAGATCAAATTTACTGAATAATTTAAATTACTGGGATAATTATAGAATTACTAGCAAAAGTTATGAAATAAATAAAATAACTACTGTAATTAAAATTAAAACTATAGAATTAAATTTACAATTAACATAATTAATACAGTGTACAAATCTTAATTTACAATGCAAAAAATTAAGAAAACCGTGTTCATATTAAAAAAGTGTACACAATTTGAAAATAAAAAAAGTGCATAAACCATTATCATTTCGTAACATTATACATCGAGAAGTGAAAATCCGTAGATAAACCTTAATTTTACTGTAACATCATACATTGAGAAGGAAAAATCAATAGACAACGCGATATATTAGTAGAGACTGCGATAAATCATTATGTCATTACACAATAAAAATCACAGTGAACACAGGTAAAAACCAATGCAAAAAATAGCTTCCAAAACACAATTCATTCCCCAAGGAGGGATAATCACATCATTGTCACATCATCTTAACCATTCTCATCAAAGGGAAATTTTTTCTCAATTACTAAATACACATTCCTCCAATTAAATTACACTATATATACATCATGCAATCACATATTTCAGCCACTGACTTCACAATGGCTGGAAATATGAAAAAGCAAAATTTAGGAGCCAATGATCTTAATTGCATTGCACACGAGCAAATTCAGTCAGGTCAGCCCATTTTTTTAAATAATAAGAAAACAGACCTTCCTCGGGTTAGAAGGAAGGAGTTTGATAAAAACAACTTTACAAAATATAGTTGTGCACAGGAGACACACTTATAGAAATATTGCAAAAGAGATAAATGTAAGCAAAAGTATTGTCAGGAATTGGGCAAAATCAGTGATGATCAGGCCACACACCAATGCTATCAAGCATTCCCTTAGTGAGAAAAACAAGATAGATAGGCTGAAATTCAACCTCAACTCACTACAGATTGACAGTGCATCGAAAGTAATCAAATTTCGAAGCATGACTCAAGTTGTGCACATAAATGAGAAGTGGTTAATCTTACAAGAGAGACGGAAAGATACTATCTAGTACCCGATAAGCCAGAGCCGTATAGGGCCTTTCAGAGTAAAAGATTCATCACGAAGGTAATGTTCTTATGTGCAGTTGCTAGACCGATGTATACAAGCAGTGGGGAATGCATATTCGATGGAAAAATAGACATTTTCCTTTTTACAGAAAAAGTTTTAGCCCAAAGAAGTTCAAAAAGTAGAGCAGCCGGGACAATGGTTACAAAACCATTAGAATCCATTACGAAGGAAGTCACAAAGGAACTTTTAATCAACAAGGTATGTTGTTTCACTGTGTATTTCTATAATTAAACTTCCTTATCCCTCAGAAACATTTCATCATTGGAATATTGATCAAAAGTATAAGTCTCCTCAATAAGAATTATGTGAGTAATCTTCATTTGTGACTTTATAACAAATGATACCATCAATAAAGGAGAAGTGACCAACTATTAGAGACAAGAATGTCACTATTCAACAAGATAATGCAAAGCTGCAAATCAACAATTTTGATCTAGATTTCAGACAGGCAACAAACACTGATGAATGGAATATCAATTTGGTGTTTCAACCACCAAATAGCCCATACACAAATGTGAATGACTTGGGATGGTTCTGGGCACTGCAATCTTTACGAATTACATAGCTTGGTACCACAGTTGATGACTTACTTGGAGCAGTTCACAAATCATTTGAACAACTCTCCCATATTGCTCTAAATTCAGTTTTTCTATGTTTGCAAGCATGTCTTGGTAAGATAATAGCTAATCTCGGATCACACAATTATAGGGTTTAGGGTTTAGGGTTTAGGGTGTTTTTTTTTTTAAAAAAAAACTATATAGCAGTGGTTGAACCCAAAGTGGGCTGCTTACGTACCCGAACGAGATCAAGCCATACGCAGTTCTTAGTAGTGCTACATAGTCCAAGTAAACAAACAGCGACCACAAGATGCAAGAAAGCCAACTCCGTGCTCCAACTGATCGGCTCATCTCCCATGCTGAAGTTGTAGAGAAAGTACCTGTGGTCGAGGCCTTCCAAATCGGCTGATCCGCAATCTGGGGATCAGAAGGAATCGCCGAGACCTGCTGAACAAGGGTTTCCGGAAGATAGGCCCGAAGGCGCGTCAAGTCCCACGTCCCGTTTACCCACATCTCTTTCACCCGTATCGACGGAGGGCGGTCCTAGCGGTCAGTGCAGAGAGGGCGATCGCCACACCAAGTATCATACCAAAAGAAGCAGTCCCCACGCCCCAAATTCCAAGTGATCTGAGTCTGTGTCTCGTCTCTAACCTGGCAGAGGCGCTTCCAAACCGGGCTGTCGTAGCTTCGGCAGGGTGCAAGTCCTGGAAAGGAATTACGAAAATATTTCTGTTGAAGCGCGCGAGCCCAAAGGGAGGAGCCATCTCTTAGTCGCCACCACAGTTTAAAAGAGAAGGCCCGAACCATATCGGCGAGGCGGCGAATGCCAAGCCCACCCTCCTTCTGAGGCCGTGCAATATCCACCCAGGAGATCCAATGGCGGCGACGGTGCCCGTGATAAGAGCCCCAGAAAAAACGAGCAAGTAGCTGCTCCACGGAGTGAAGTACCATCTGGGGAGGGCAAAGTACCTGCAGGAGATAGAGGGGGAGCGAGAACAAGGTGCTCCTGATCAACTGTAATCGACCCCCGTGAGATAGAACCGATCGATCCTAACGCTGTAGATAGCGACGGAGCTTTCCAAGGAGTTCCTCATAAAGAATATTGCGCCGATTGCCCACATAGAGGGGCGCGCCAAGATACGTGAGGGGAAGTTCAGCCGTGCCAAAACCAGTCACCGATTGGAGCAGCCGTTGTACACTCTCCGGGCACTGGCAGCTGAAAACAAGCTGGCTTTTCTGACAATTCACCTTCTGACCAGTAATCCGTGCGTAAGTCGTCAGAAAGTCCCTCAGAAGGCTGATGCGATTGCCATAAGTATTAGCGAATATGAGGACATCATCCGCATAGGCTAGGTGCGTCAGCCGGAACCGACCACGACAACGATAGTATAGATCCGGAAAACGGTTGTATAGGCGCTCCAAGCCTCGTGATAAAAGATCTGCAGCCAAAACAAAAAGGGTCGGGGACAAGGGGTCTCCCTGCCTAAGGCCTCGCGAGGAGGGGAAGAAGCCACCCAAGTCCCCATTCACAAGGATCGAGTACCAAGCATGCTCAACACAATTCATAATCAAGGTGATGAAATGAGCCGGGAAACCGAACCTGGAAAGGGCGTGCCGCAAGAACCGCCAGGACACCCGATCATATGCCTTGTTAAGGTCCAATTTCAGTAATAAATTATGCGAGTCCCCTCTCAGATTAAGATCATGGACCATTTCCGAGGCTAACAGGATATTGTCCGCAATCGCGCGGCCTTTGACAAAGCCCGCTCTGATGCGGTGATAGGAGCTGCGGCAGTAGAGGGCTAAGGCGCGTGGTAAGAAGCTTTGTGAAGATCTTACTGCTTACATTACACAGGCTGATAGGCCGATAATCAGCCCATGCAAGTGGCCCCTCCTTCTTTGGGATAAGCACAAGAGTCGTCGCTGTATAGAACTTCAGGAGAGGAGCTCCCGAAAAAAATTCCAGTACAGCCTCAAACACATCCTCCCGGATAATCTCCCAACATTTCTGGTAGAAGGCGGCAGAGAAGCCATCAGGGCCAGCCACACTATCCTGATCAATCGAGAAGACCACAGCACGAATCTCCGCAAGTGTAGGCGGCTCTAGCAATCGATTGCACTTGGCCGGCGGAACCTGGGGCGGTGGGTCCGCCAAGGCATCCATTCCCGAGGTGTCGGCATCATCAGGCTGTCCCAACATCCCAGAGAAATAG